TTGAACGCTCTTGGACCTCAGATCTTCAGTCTCTCTGCTGTTAAAATGAAATTTAGTTTTTTGGACTTTGAGGAACTTTGGGTTCAGGACTTAAATGGTTCTGGTGGGTCAGCAGGTTTCTGCTCAGTCCGGCTTTGGATCTTTGTTCTGTTGGAGGTCTTCCTGACCTCTGACCTCTTAAAAGTGTTTCCTGACTCCACAGGTACGGTCTGAAGGCTCCGGTCTACCTGAAGAACCGGGAGGGTCAGGTGATCTCTGTGGGTCCAGACGGTGGCTGTGATTGGCAGAGCGGTTCTGTGAGACGATCCTCAGACCACATCAGCACCACCTCCACCTGCGGCTCCTCCACCTTCAGACTCTTCGCCCACATCACCGTGAGTCAAACCCGAGCCACCGCCGCTCCTCTGTTTGTCTGGAAATGACACCGTCGCAGGGAGGTCACAGGGAGACTTAATCGAGTCCTGATTCTGTCGATCACAGACAACAAGATCACTGCTGCAACAACAGTAATATAGAAAAACAACAATAATATAAAAACAACAATAATAAAGAAAAACATCAATAATAAAGAAAAACAACAATAATATAAAAACAACAATAATAAAGAAAAACAACAATAATATAAAAACAACAATAATAAAGAAAAACAACAATAATAAAGAAAAACAACAATAATATAAAAACAACAATAATAAAGAAAAACAACAATAATATAAAAACAACAATAATAAAGAAAAACAACAATAATAAAGAAAAACAACAATAATATAAAAACAACAATAATATATAAAAACAACAATAATAAAGAAAAATAACAATAATATAAAAACAACAATAACAACAATAATAATATAAAAACAACAATAAAGAAAAACAACAATAACATAAAATAAGAGTGATCAGAGGTCTGTGTCCCGTTAGAGATGAACTGTTTCACTTAGAACAAAAAGTAAATATTTTATAGACACAGTTTGATTCTGATAACTCTTCATCATCATCATCATAGTAATAATGATAATAATAATAATGAAAATAATAATAATAATAATAATAATAATGATAATGATGATAATAATGATAATAATAATAATAATAATAATAATAATAATAATAATAATAATAATAATGATAATGATGATAATAATAATAACAATAATAATATCATCATCATCAGCGAACAGCGTTCAGTCTGCAGAATAAAACATTAATATTTTCAGTCAGTAACGTCGTCAGCTGAGCCGTTGCAGCTGTAAACTACATACAGATGTGTAGTACTACATGACAGTACTGTAGTAATACTGCATTCACAACTGAAGTCATTTCACAGTGAGTTTCAGTCCTCTTATTGAGCACCGCACTAAAACCTGAACACCAGGAACCATCAGGAACCAATCAGGAACCAATCAGGACGTCTGATTTTAGAAAAAAGTCAAAAACAAACGAGAGTCCAGAGTGTGGAGGTTTGACACGTTTATAAACCGGGTTTATAAATTATTTTTATACACATCAAACATTCGAGGTTATATTCAGTCTAGATCAGGAGGCTCTCGGCCTTCTGAGGGCTCACGTCGTCAACATCAGAGCAGTGGATAAAACAGAGTGGCGACAACTTCAGATCTCGCCGCCGGAGCGGTCACGTGGTTCATGTACCCCTCCATAGTTCCAAACGCAGCCTGCACTGTCCATGCTCTTCAACGGGGCAGACTGCAGTGAGCGCGCATTTAAGAGGTAAATATTAAAATTAACCGTAAAAAGTCAACATTTGCAACTCTTATTGGATTACTGTGTACACGTCAAAGTCACGTACGTATATTTAGCGTCTGGATGACAAAAGTGAAATAAGACAAGTTTGGTAACACGTGTTACTTTTTAATAAGAGAAAATAATACAATAAAGTGGTAAGTAACAGGTGTTACAAGCTGTTTAAACAATTGTACAATGTTTTGGTCTTTCAGCATGGCCTGAATAACATTTTTCCATGTTAAACATACGCCTTAAATGCTGACAGGATTTAAAAAGTAGCGGCCCCTTAACTCTATCATCCCATAAGCAGAAATCAAATTACATAGCATTTATGTTAGTCTAAAAAGAATAAACTGCATATAACATCGGGAACTGATAAAGGCTGAAATCTAAAATAAAGCCCATAAGTAACCATCTCAACATATGATTGATGATGATGATTCATCTGTGATTCATAACTCAGTCACACAATAGATTTTGGCAGGCCTCTACAGCTGACGACGTCCAGCTAGCAGGCCGTGGCTAAAAAATCGATCCCAATTCCTCACTAAAAAAACGTAATTACATCTGTAATTACAATTTGAGCATACTAAAATTAAAATCATTTTACATATAAAGGGGTCCCTCGATACCATTTACACACGTATTGGCATCACATTCGTTGATACAATATTTTACCTCGGGGAGTGTGGGAGCAAACTCAAACGTCGTCTGGACTGTTAGAAGATTCTGTCTGAAAGTTTCTGCTCTGATTACGTCCAAAGATGTACAAACATCTGCTTTGTTTTGAGCTCTTTTCAGTCTAAATCTCAGGTTATAAATATTAATGAATTATATAATTATAATTATTACCTGACAAACCTGTCGGTCATTTTCAAAAAGCTCTCAGGAATCCTGACGTAGACGTCGCTGAACTTCAAAGTTTGTGATTGAATAATCCTCGTCTGCTCTCCGCAGGTTCGTATCTCAGTCCGATCCAATCATTTCCACGCCGACAGTTTAAACCTGGAGATCATCAGCAACAAACCTCACAGCAGCGCCGAGCCCGAGAAGCCCCGCCCACAGGGCCGCAGTCAGCTGGTACAGGAGGTGGTGCGTCTGGCTGAGGAAGCGAGCCAACAGGCGCAGGAGGAGGCGGCGAGGAGGCCCCGAGTGTCCCGAGAGGAGAGGGAGTACCGGCAGAGTAAAAGCCCCAACCTGTACTCCCTGCTGGAGGAGGTGAGGGAGCTCGCTCTGCTGGACCTGGAGACCGCCGCCGCTGCCGCCGCACAGGTGTGTGCGACCACGGCGTAGAGCCACCGCCACAGGAAATGACTGACCCTGCAGAGCCTGAAGGAGACATGAGAGAACGAACAAAAACTGTTTCCATCAACTTTCCGAAGATTCAAACTTTTTCATGTGGAACCTGAAACTTTCCTTTTCGTAGTTTTTGAAGATGTTTGTTTTTCTGTTTGACGGTGCGGAGGGAAAACGTGCAGCTGGATGAAGTTTACACTCACGAGCTAAATTTATGAACAAAGAAAAGCATAGACATGAAAAAAGCAGAAGAAGAAATAAATCTATAAAAAAACAAATCTATGAGTGTCCACGCTTTTTTTCACAGCAGAGCTTCGGCTGTCAATCAAACAGAACTGTGTGAAACTAAAGACAGAAAATCTGATGAAAGGTTGAAAACAGTGACCCGCTCCAATCCTCGGAAACACCTGACTGTTATTTTTTACCGAACTCTACTGTGAAATTATTTTATACTAAAATTTGACTCATATATCATACTACACTAGGACCTTTATTAACATTACATTACACTAATATACTCTGATTTTTTTTTCATTCTAAATGACTTTTTTAACTTTCACATTTTATTAAACCATACGATGGTCGTCCTTAACAAACAATACAATGACTTTTTTTACACGTTCTATACTATGAAATTTTTTTATTTTAGAAATTGAAACTTTTATCATACTGATGACATTTTTTAACAGTTTATATTATGTCATTTTTTACAGACAATTTTTCATACTAAAGTTTGAAATTTATATTATGCTTTACTATGAGATTTATGTCATACTGTACTATGATATTTTTTTACCTTACTATTCTGAAATTATTTTATACTAAAATTAGACTTACATCATACTATACAATGACATTTATTAACAGTCTATCAAATAACCTTAATTCAGAAAAAAATCTACATTTTTTTAACATTATATACTTCGACATTTTTTACTTTACGTTACTTTTCATACCTAAGTTTGAAATTTATATCATACTATACTATGACATTTTTATCATACTATACTTTGATATATTTTTCTTTTCTATAAAATGGAATGTTTTTATACTAAAATTAAAAATTTTTATACCATACTGTGACATTTTTTAATGTACTAGACTATGACATTTTTAAACGTACAAAACAATTAAATTTAAATTTACTTTGACAGTTTTCAACATACTACTTTGATATTTTTTTACCTTACTATTTTTTTTCTTTCTTTGCTTTGAAATTTTTATTATACTATCCTATGACGATATTTAACACACTATCAATAAACCATTTTTTCATACTTGGGTATGTACGGTAAGGTAAGAACTATGATATTTTTTTAACCTTATTGTACTGTGAAATTTTAATCATACTAAAATGTTACATTTTTAACATACTTAACTGTCACCCTCATTCAAACCAAAATCTAATTTTTTTATTATCATACTGTACTTTGATATTCTTTAACTTAGTATACTGAGACATTTTTTAACATAGTTTACTATAACATTTTTTACTTTACTGTGATTACTGAACTTAATTTTTAAGTTTATATCTTACTTTAATCTCACATTTCTTTCTTACTATAAAGGACATTTTTAACATACTATACTATGACTATTATTCATACTAATATTCACATTTTTTATCATACTTTGACATTTATTTAACAAACTATATTATGACCTTTATTCACACAAACATCTAGAAATTTTTATCATACTATACCGTGATGTTTTTATCATTCTATATTCTTTTTATTTCACTTTACTCTGAAATTTTATAAATACTACACCATGATACTTACTTAAAGTTTTGAAATGTATATCATGCTATACTTGGACATTTTTTAAATATTTTACACTATGAAATTGTTTTCATAATTTACTATGAATTTTTATTCAAACTAAAATTTATTTTTTTATCAAACCATACAAAGACGTTTATTAACATAGTATGCTAATAAATGATCCCTTTCAAAATAAAAGCTTTACATCCAGGGAGAAAGGAAAAGATTAAAACCCTGCAGGACTCTGTGACTCTGACCCTGGTCCACAGGGGGCGCCAAAATCAACTCCAAGTTCTTGAAGATTTTAATGTGGAAACACGTTTATTATCAACAATTTAACACATAAAAAAAAGCAGGTTTTACAGATTTCCAAGTTTGAGCTGCAGGAACTTCAGCGCTCTGCTCTCAGACGTTTCCTGGAACTCGTTTCTTCTCGGCTCACTGAGGGAAACTCTGCAGATCAGAAACCTCATGAATCAGCAGCTCTGAGCTCTGAGCCGGTTTTTCGGACCTGTCAGAATCCTGCAGACGCAGCTGTTGTTGTGAGTCAGTTTGATTCGTCTCCATCCTCACTCCTCTCCTGACCGCTCCTCTCCTCTGACGCTCGTCTCTCCTCCTCCTCCTCCTCGTCTCTCTCGCTCTGAGCTGCTTCTGCAGACGGTTCAGCGTCTCTTTTTTCTTGAAGCTCGTCCAGCTGTTCTCGCTGCTCCAAATCCAAATCCTCCTGCTCATCCTGAGCTTTAGAGGAGTCGAGGTTGTTTGCAGAGGACACAGATGTGAGATCATCCACTGGCATGGAGGAGGAGGTGGAGGAGGAGTCGAGGGTCTGAGAGTCTGAAGGATCTGATGGGAGGAGAAAGAAAACAAACGTCAGCGTTCAGAGGGAAACAGAGAGACGAGGTCGGCTGAGTCTTCATCTGAACTTTAAACTGAGTCCGGGTCCGGGGTCCAGCAGTCAGAACCTTCAGACTCAGGTTCTGTGCAGAGGCGCCGGGTGAGACGGTCTCAGGGAAACGGTTTGAAATAAAGAATCTAAACGTCGTTTTTATTGATCAGAGTTCGATTAAGAAACTTTGAATCAATTTTTTTTATTTTTATTTTTGAGACAAAAAATATTTTTTGAATAAAAAGACAAAAAAAAAAAAAGACCAGAGTGAGACGAAGAGACGCCGGAACCTTTTCAGATCGATCAGTGATCAATGATTAGTGATCAATGATTAGTGATTATTGGTTAGTGATCATTGATTAGTGATCAATGATAAGTGATTATTGGTAAGTGATCGTTGGTTAGTGATCAATGATTAGTGATCACTGGTTAGTGATCATTGATTAGCGATCAATGATTAGCGATCATTGGTTAGTGATCATTGATTAGTGATCATTGATTAGCGATCATTAATTAGTGATTATTGATTAGTGATCATTGATTAGTGATCATTGATTATTGATCATTTGAATCAAACACTGTATTTCTGAAGTGTGCGGTGAGTTTGGTGAATTTCGACCTTCTGAATTCTTGGATTTTTTTCGACCTTAAACCCGTTTTGATGAATTTGAGCGTCTGTGACGTTGGCGAGAATTTCTCAGCCAATCAGAGCGGTTCTGCTGGGAGGACGTCGTGATCTGACAGGACATCCGTGTTTGAGGAGATTCTTCATGAAGAAATAACGTTTGTCATAAAAACATCAAACTGTCGTCAGCTGGTCGTCGTAGCTCCTCCCACCTGTTCTCTGCTGCTGGCGAGCCAGCTTTCTCTCCAGGGCTCTCTGTCGGTTCAGCTCCATGCGTCTGTGCTGCTCCTCTGTCAGGGAGGAGACGGGGGAGGTGGAAGGAGGAGGCTGAGCAGGAGGAGCTGGAGTGGAGTGGATCAGGTCAGCGGGGAACGCCGTGGCGTTAAAAGGATCCAGATCTCCAAAGACGTGAGGTTCAGGGGGCGGTTCCTCTTCACCTGAAAGACAAAGATCTTCAGAAGAGAAGCTGAGAAGGTTCCAGACTGAAGAGGGTCTCCGGTTCTGGTTCTCGTCTCTTCACGAACTTCTTCTGGAATCGTCTTTACCTGTGAAGTCCTCGTGGGTCAGCGGCATGTCCAGCCGGATCCGTTTCAGACAGGTCTACAAAGACAGAGAGGACATAAATACAGACGGAACCAGAATCACAGAGGACTTCAGGGTCCGGTTTCAGCCCACCTGCACCTCCTTCTTGTTCCCGAGCTTCTCCACTCGGTCCAGAAAGTCCTCAAACTGCATCTTTGGGAACAACCTGTGGGCCCAGTTCTCCATCCTCTGGATCAGCAGCCGAAGGTCCTCGGCCTGGAGAGACCACGAACAGACAAGGTCCAGGAGGACTGTAAAACACAAAGTCCGGTCCTGGTGGAGGACCGGATCTTTGGATTCTCAGAGACCTCCTCAGGAGGTCCAGGTCCAGGAGTTCTTACCTCGCAGCCTTTTCCTTTAAAATGAACGTCATCAAACAGAGTCCGCAGAGCAGGAAGTCCTCTGTCCGAGGTCAGCCTGGAACAGAAACGGGTCTGAGGTCAGAACCTGGACCAGCTCTATGTTTCCATGAGTGAGAGGCAGAACCAGGAGAACCAAGAGCAGCTTCTACAGGAGAGCGAGATGATCCACTACGCTGACCGACTGTTCTGGTTCTGAAGGTTCTGGTTCAGACTGTTCTGGTTCTAAGGGTTCTGGTTCTGAGTGTTCTGATTCTGACTGTTCTGGTTCTAAGGGTTCTGGTTCTGAAGGTTCTGGTTCTAAGGGTTCTGGTTCTGAGTGTTCTGGTTCTGAATGTTCTGGTTCTGAAGGTTCTGGTTCTGACTGTTCTGGTTCTAAGGGTTCTGGTTCTGAGTGTTCTGATTCTGACTGTTCTGGTTCTAAGGGTTCTGGTTCTGAAGGTTCTGGTTCTGAGTGTTCTGGTTCTGAAGGTTCTGATTCTGAATATTCTGATTCTGAATGTTCTGGTTGTTCTGGTTCTGAGTGTTCTGGTTCTGAAGGTTCTGGTTCTGAGTGTTCTGGTTCTGAAGGTTCTGGTTCTGAGTGTTCTGGTTCTGAAGGTTCTGGTTCTGACGGTTCTGATTGTTCTGGTTCTGAAGGTTCTGGTTCTAAGGGTTCTGGTTCTGAGTGTTCTGGTTCTGAGTGTTCTGGTTCTGACGGTTCTGGTTCTAAGGGTTCTGGTTCTGAGTGTTCTGGTTCTGAATGTTCTGGTTCTGACTGTTCTGGTTCTGAAGGTTCTGGTTCTAAGGGTTCTGGTTCTGAATGTTCTGGTTCTGACTGTTCTGGTTCTGAGTGTTCTGGTTCTGAAGGTTCTGGTTCTGAGTGTTCTGGTTCTGAAGGTTCTGGTTCTGGTTGTTCTGATTCTGACTGTTCTGGTTCTAAGGGCTCTGGTTCTGAAGGTTCTGGTTCTGATGTCTGTACATGATATTTTGATCTCCTGAATACCGGACCTCTGAGAGTCCAGCTTGGGTTGCGGTCTCTTCACTCCTTTCCTTTTAGCAGCAGGAACATCGACCAGCTGGGACACCTCGCCGTTTTCTCCGTCTGCATCAAACAGAAACAACACCGGGACCGGGACCGGGACCAGGACCAGGACCAGGACCAGGACCAGGACCGGTGTGAAAGTGACGTCAGAAAACCTTCAGTCGTTCTAAAAACAGATTCAGCTCCATCTCAAGGTTCTTCTGAACATCAGTGGTCCAAACACTTGAACCCCTTACCTAAGTGGTCTCCGTCGTCTCCTCCCCCCTGACCCGGGGAGTGGGGGGGAGGCAGAGGAGGGAAAGCTTCATCCTCGAAGCCGTCGTAGTCCGGACCGTCCTCCTGCGGGTCGACCATCCTGACCTCCAGCTCCGTTAGATTCCTGTGATCAAAACCGGAAAATCTCTAAAAGAAGAAGTTCAGTCAGTTTAACAAACAGATTTAAGTTTGTTTGATTTCATCAATTTAACAGATTTAAGTTTGTTTTTAAGTTTGTTTTTTCACGTTTTTTTTAAGTTTTTTTTTTTTTTTCATGTTTGTGCAGAAATCCAGAAAAACTCAACAACAGTTTTTATTTGAGGGTCTCATGGTTTAAACAGACGATCTAAAAACGTTTAAAAGTTTTTCTGTTTGACAGGAAAGATTCATTTTAGAAGATTATTTGAATATTTGAATTCTAATCCAGATTTTTGACTCATTCTGTCCTGAAAACACTCGTTCATAAAGTCAAATCAGAAACTTAAACACGAGTTAAAGTCGAAGGTTCAAGAGAAAAGCAGTGACTTTAAACAAACAAACGAACAAACGACCTCCAGAGGGTCACCAGGACGGATGAGAAGGTCATCAGGTGATCTGTGTCCACTCTGGAGGACCTTCACAGATCTAACTGCCTCAGGAGAGACACCAACATCATGGAGGACTCATCCCACCCGGACCACCCCCTCTCTGACCCTTCAGGCAGACCGTACAGGACCGTCAAAGTCCGGACCCTCAAAGTCAAAGTCCGGACAAAAAGACGAACAGCTGATCCCCTCCTCCATGACAGCCTGATGACGTGTTTCTGTCTCTGTAGTTTTAATTCTGGTTTATTGTCTGATGTTTTATTGTCTCATGTTTTATTGTCCCTTTTTGATGCTCTGACTGTAAAGACTTTAATTTTGTTGTATTTGTTACAAAAACATTAAACTCTGATTAAAACTTTAATTTCTCAGCAGCAGATCGACTCTCTACTGTCTGAACTCTTATTCCATCATTTTCACTTCAGTTTTGGTTTTTTTTATATAAACTTATTATTTTTATTTTAAAGCTTCTGCTGTTTTGTTAATAAAACTAAAATAACTTCATAAATTAGTCTGTTCAGTCAATAATCAATCAGCTTCATGGGCAGATATCACTCACTGTGTCTTTAACTCGGTCTCCATGGTTACAACTCAGAGGAAAATGTGGGCGGAGACATTTTAGTCACTGACTACGTCACAGCAGCAGGAAGAAGAAGAAGGCGGGAAACTCGAACACTGATGAGAGACTCTTTAATAATTCTCATTAAATCTCATTATTTAAGCAGCACCACGATATAATCCTCGTCAGTGTTGTTTAGAGAATCTCCGGCTCCTTCTTTTAAAGCTGCTCGATCTGAAATTATTCACTAAATTAGTCTTTATAGTTCTTTAACACCGCGCTGCTAAGTTAATGCTACTTTAAAGTTAGCTAACTTCTAACGACTCATTAAGGACCAAACGTGACTCTGCATTTCAGCCAACAGGACATTTGATCATAAAAACGAGTGGAAAACGACATAAAGTTCAAGAAAAAACGACTTTTCTGTCTCTTACCCGTCAGGAACTGACCCACCGAGAGGAAATAAGCAGACAGGAAACTGACAAATTAACTTCCGCTACAGCCTTTCCTTTCAAAATAAAAGTCCGACATAAATAAAATTGAACCGATTTTTGATTTTTTTAAAAATAACATTTATACAAAACAATGATTATATAATACAACAGTAGACAAGTATTCATGAATTCACAGATATGAAATTTGGTCCAATGATGTTTGATCTTTGAGGTAAAAAAAATAAAAGAAACATATTTCTAAAATACTTAAAAAAAACAAACAAAAAAAATCATGTTTTATTGTCAGAATGATATTTAAAAATAATATATGGTGAGTCAACAACGTAGGTGACGTTAATCAATAAATACAAATGAATTTAAATATAAATTAGATTAATCCTTTTTGACTGAATTTATAGAAAATAACAGAAACACTCAAATATAAACTGTAAACTAAGAGAGTCCTGTCTTATAAACTCTCTCGGTAAATTTATGAGATTAAATTTTAACAGTTAGTTTCTCTGTCGGTCAAATATGAACATTTATTTTAATTAAAACAATAAAAAGTTAAAAGAACAAAGTTTTATATTAGAACCTTTTTTTATGGAAAACTTTATTAATGTTAAATTTGAGATAACTGGACTAACAGTTAAAAGATTTCAGTGTTTTTAAATTCAGTTTGTGAAATGTTTTTCCACGTGAACACTTGTGTCTAAGAACCCTTAAGTCATCAGAGTTAGGAACCTTTTCCAACTTTAGCCCATCTCTCAATACTTTTTTATGCTTGTTTACGCCAATAATTTTTTATTTTTTATTTTGAATAAAAACAGTAGAAAAGTTTCAGATTTAAAAATGTTTTATTTGAAGTTTTTGATCCACAGAGTACAACAGTTTCACTCTGCCGCTCTTTTTAACTTTATTTATACAAACTTTGACAAAAAAATCATCTACCTGCATTTCCTTAGAGCATCTATGGAGCTTCAAAAACCACACAAGACCGGTCTGTCCACAAGAAATCATCTCAAATATCATAGAAATGTTTCAAACTTGAATGAAACTAACTTTTTAAAATCAGAATCAACCTGATGATTGAAAACAGAAAAACAGCAAGACAGTGAAATAAACACGAAGCTTCAGACGGGAGGAAGATTTACAGCTTTAAAATAATAAAATAATCACTCTCAGATTCATTAGTGTGTGTGTGTGTGTGTGTGTGTGTGTGTGTGTGTGTGCGTGTGTGTGTGTGTGTGTGTGAGTGTGTGTGTTTTCAGACTCGTCCACGCAGCAGGAACATGAGAAAGACCGCACTGATGAGGATGCAGAGCGTGCAGACGGTGGGAACTACGATCTCCGTCACCATCTCCATGTGGCCGATCAGCGGGTCTGAAACACACAAGTGTGGAGGGTGAGTTTGTAACAGGAAGTGATGCTGAGGCGTCACACTGACTTCCTGTGACACAGAGGTTTTACTTTGTCTCAGTTTCACTGTAAACAAGATCAACAGAAACCAGAACCCTTCTTAGACTAAAATCCAGACCCAGGAGTCCTGGATCCACATTTGGATGATCACATCTGTAAACAGAGATCACATGACCTGTTGGACCTTCAGCTGTTTTTGTCAAAGATCCACTTTAGTACCTAAACTTCATCATGCACAGGCCAAGACTTCCCTGCATGTTCGTGATTTCCCTGCAGGGACTGTCTTCTAGCTGGGGGGGCAAACAAAGAAAAACTCTGTTAGAGAAGAAGAAGAAGCTGAACACAGAATTTTTCTTTGTTTGACCCCGACCGCCTCAACAGAACCTACGCCTCCAACATTAGTCTGGACTCACCTGCAGCCAGGAGCTGGTTACTGGTGGAACACGTCTCCACAGATTTCCTCTTCCAACTTTCCACCTGGAATCACAAAACAACAACAAACTCGTGATGATCGGACCGACTCTGAACAGTCCGAGGATTTCACAGGAACGGCGTCTCTACCTCTCTCTGATTGGGGAATCCGTTTGAGCTGATGATCCGTTTGTAGAACTGCACTGAGGCCTTCGGGTACCGTGGTTTATTTTTGTTCCTGAAGTCCACGTAGTAAAGTCCAAACCGCTCAGAGTAACCTTCATCCCACTCGAAGTTATCCAGGAGAGACCAGGCCGTGTAACCCTTCACGTTCACGCCATCTTTAACCGCTGTGAAGTCAACAGAGACAAAAGTCAGATCCTGTTTTTAGTCCCATAAATCAGGACGAACTCAGACTCCAATATTCGATATGATCCTGTTTGTTTTTTTTTAACCTTTGAGCAGTTCGTTGATGTACTCTCTGAAGTACTGCATCCTCCAGTCGTCGCACAGGTCTGTACAGAGAACCTTTTCAGAAACGCCGTTCTCCGTCACGTAGA